TATAATAGTGTAAAACAACATAAGCAAATATGTTTTTTAAAAATAAAACACTACAAATTAACAAAATATTAAAAGAATTCGATGCCGCTCCTTAATGAATCAACCTGCAGATAAAAATTCAAAAATCTGTATATTATATTATACTTTATATTTGTGTTATAGGTAGAAAAGCACCTGAAAAAAATATAGGTAATCGCAATCATATATAAACTTTTTGAAAATATGGCTAGTAAAATTGCTTATCTTTATTATTAATTTTTATCATTATAAATGATGTACGTTAAAGTTTGTTATAGAAATGTTACCACTTATTTATTTTATATTTATTAGATATAAACTGTTATTATTTTAATTTCAGAAACACATGAAGACGTAGCCATTAAGCATGGTAAATTTTTAGTTTTTAATTCTTTATAAAAAGTACAAGGTAAGGCCTAATAATTTCAAACAAATTTTTACCAAACGATTTTTTCAAACTTCGGTATAGACCGAGATTATAGAGTTTAACATTTAGAACAGGCGTAAGAATAGCGTGTAAGGGTTATTTTAATTTTCGAATTGAGGTGTTTCTATTCAAAACGTGCAATCTCCATTTTTGACAAAATTGAATTAGACATCAGTTCTTACAGTAAAAATAGCGACAAATCGATTATAATCGTTGTTTTTTGCCTAAACGTATTATTACAATTTGTTTTTCAAAAAGTACTATGTCTGGAAATAATACGTTTGCACCAAATCATATTTTAAAATCACTTAAAAAGTGGTGAAAAAATATATTTTTTTTTTTCGCAAACATTTTGTTTTCTAATCATCAACCTGAATCATAAAAATATTCAACATATGCTATTATATAACTTATTCAGTTTTTTTAATATAGAAAATCTCTATTCCTGAAAAAAATAGTTTTTGAAGATAACACGTTTTGCATGGAAACAACTTAATTATTCAACACCTTATCTTCAAGCTTTTATTTTTTAACACCAATAACTTAAAATTGGTTGGCCACCAGTCATATATTTTGGCAATTTTTTCTTAATTTAAAAACAAATTAACCGTTTACATAGCCATTACATTTTTAAAAGTTACGCCACTCTAAAATTTAGCTTTGATTAAGAAAAATTCAAGTGTTACATGAAATACTGAACACCCTGTTTATTGAGAATAATTATAGACTTACGTACTGATACCTATCAACATGCATAACGAAAACTAAACATTTATTAAAAATGTTTTATTTTAATTTTAGAAACACTTAAAGTCATAACTGTAAAGCATGGTAAGTTTGTAGTAGTTAAGTATTCAAATATTATAATGAAAATAAATATAAACTTACATTTTGGGTCCTAAATAATCGATAAACGATAAATAAAACTTCTAGATAGAATAAGTGTAAAGAATTTAAAATTAAGAGCGGGTGTAAGGGTAGAGTGTATTTCTTGTATACTAAACACACTGTATATTAAATTTCTATTTTAATTTCAGAAACGCAACGTTACGACGTAGAGGTAGATGAAGGTAAATTGTTAGTAGTTATTTATTCCTACATATTGAGAACAATCAAAGAATTACAATATATTCGTTTCAATCATAGTAAATGATGTACATTGTGTTCAAACTTATTATAAAAATAATTCCATATAATTATTTGATATACATAAGGTACATAATTTTTTTTTTCAGAAACAGAAGAAGACCAAATCATACAGCATGGTACATTTTTAATCGTTAATTATTCATTTATATCAAAACAATATCATATACTTACATATTAATTTCAATCATAGTACATAATGAACATATAAATTGATTATTGTAATATTTCTACATAACTATTTATATTTAGTAGATATAAAATGTTTTAATTTTTATTTCAGAAACACACTATGTCGTAGTCTTAAAAAATGGTAATTTTTCATAAATTATGAGAATAGTCATGTACTTACATATTATGGTTTCTATCACAATGAACGACGTACGTCCAAATTTTTTTTGTTTCGAATTTTAGATAAGTTATGGTACCAGACACAAGTGAAATCAGATATAGAAGCTGTAATAGGTAAATACAAATTTTAATTATTTTAAAAGAACAAAAATTAAATTTTAGCTTCGATGTGGAGTTCAACAGGTATTCTGTAATGATGAACTCTGCTCCTCTCCTTCATCTTTTTTTAGATTCTTATCGAATGGTTTGATTATTATGAAACCATATTCAATTATAAAAGTTGTTTTGACCCAACATTGCTAACATCTTTTCTACTGATTTATAGTATACATGGTTTCCACTATATTGGTTTAGACTGAGCTTGGTTTGGACTAAGCTGGGTTTTATTATGATTTGTGCCTCGATGATTGTTAAAAATGTATTGACCGGATTGGTTAGATTGAGTCAATATATTTATCGAATTTTGGGGTTAGGAAAGTAATATTGATATTGATTTTCTTAATCAATGAAATGGTGGACTACCGAATCAGATTAAGCATAAATGACGTAAGAAGCATGAGGGGGAGCAGTATGATCTCCGATCACTTCCTAGTAAGAACCAAGCTCAAATTTAAAATATCGGTAGAAAGATCAAAAAGAATAAAGTGTACAAAGAAAATTAACAAAGAAAGATTGAAAATTAATCAGACCAAAGATAACAAATAAAAAATCAATGAGTACTTTGATAGTTTAGATCTTAATACGGATATAAATAATTACTGTTGGGAAAAAATGGAAACTGCAAAAAAATGATCAGCAGAAGTAGTATTAGGCCATGACCCAAGGTTTAATGAACAATGTAATAAAGCTAATGCAGAAATACATAAAGGGAATTGTTGGAGATTACCAAGCAGGTTTCATAGCTGGTATATCAACACTGGACTAAATTCATGACGTCAAACAGATAACAGAAAAAAATTATGAGTTTGACAAAGATGTCCATTTACTGATTGGAGAATGCATACGATTCAGTGAATAGAGAAAGACTATGGAAAGTAGTGGATTAAATAGGGGGACCTAGAAAGGTTAAAAGAATGATTCGAGCATGTGTAAATGAGTCGAAATGCAAAGTAAAGTACGGAGGAGAAGAGTCAGGAGATTTGAGGTTGAGACAGGGAGGCGCTCAAGAGGAGTTCATATTAAGAACAAACAGAGAAGTAGAAGAAATGTATGGTGAAACAAACATAATTGGAATCTTTAAGAGCAGTAGGCTGGAATGAGCTGGACATGTGTGGTGGTCTGAAGGCCCCATTGGGTTGGCCACAAGTTGGAAACCGGACAAAAAAAAGCCAAGAGGACCGCTTATACAGCGGTGAAAAGACAGAATCACAAAAGATACATTGAGGTTAGGAGTGAAAAACGGAGAGGAACTGGCTAAAAATAGAGATAGGTGGAGGCAACTGGTTGTAACGGCAATGGACCTAAATGGCCCGTAAAAGCCAATAAAAAAAGAAAGATTGATTGTCATACCCTTAATGAATCACACTGCAAATAAAATAAAAACTATTTTTTTAACAGTTTAATTTATTTATACATTATATTTTGGTTATAGGTAAAAAATGTTCACCTGCCATAGACGAAGGTAATCAAAAACATACATCTAATTTTCGTAGGTTTATCTTAGTAAACTGCTAATGTACAAGTTCAACACAATAAGGGAAAACGTTGAACTTTGCGGTAGAAAATTGGTTAGTCTACCTTTCCTGCTAGTCTTATTACCAAGTCACATTTCAAACTGTAAACCTAGATGCTCAATGAGGTTTCAAGCATTAATAAAAAGCATCAGGGGGTTGTCCACGGCAATTCCAAGGAAATTACAGCCATTAGAACGGCAATGGGTCAATAGTTGCTTAAGGGTCCCTTGAGATTATTAGTGATTGTTCTGTTTATTTTAAAGAAATAGAATAGACCCTATGTATTCAGAAATTTGTTTAAGAATTATGATTCACAGTAACTACACTTAAAAAAAGAAAAGAAAGAAAATGTTTCCACTAAAAGAGCTTATGGCATTTATTTAGGTTAGTATATAGTAAATATTAAAATACTCAAAATTCCTTACAAATTTGGAAATTTAGCAGAAAATAGGTACTGATTCTAGGTTATACAAAAGTTTGCAAATTATAGGTCTTTATTATTTAATGCAGTTTTATCATGAGCATCTATTTACTTGTTTTTTTACTGATTATTTAGACGAATTAACGTCTTCTAATCTGACAGAATTGGGTGATCAAAGAAGATCTATGATTAATATAGCTATAACAGAATTATTGGATGCAGTAATAAGTAAATATTCATTTAGACTTTTTTTACCATTTTATAAATGTATCCATTTTTGTACAAGGATTTTACTAATTTTATTGACTTTTTCAAATATTTAAATATCAAATACTAATAAAAAAATAAAATGATATAATTACTGACATCCATTTATATCAGAAATAAATACAATACATTTTTTTTTTAATAATATTTTTACAGATCCCTCACAATATGAGTGGTTGAAAAAACTCTTTTTCCCAACATACATTTAGTAGTAACATTATGATTAGACTTTTAATTTTCAAATTGGTTCGTGTTTTTTTAAATCTAGAACTCTTTTGATTTTCATGTCAATTAATTTTAACCATTTCTTTTTCTTATAAATTACTTAATATCTATTAACGAAATAGTAAAAGTTTTCACCAATTAGTACCTTATTTAGTATAAAAGTTTCTAAAATAATTAATTATAAAACAAATTGAGGATTTTAGTTTTTGCGGGATGTTTGGTAGTTTTCTCTAATTTGAAAAATAAACTTTTTTTTTTTTAGGAGATATTTTTGACTTGGATTTGAAATTCGTAGATGTAAAGAAGTGTCGTTCATTAGGAGTGCGGATGAGTTTATTAAACGTATTAAATAAAAAACCGTTTATCAAATCTGCTATTATTCGAAACGAATTGTGTATTCTAATAGCTCTAGACAAAGCAGAAACCAAATACGCAATTGACAATCGCAGTCTTATGGAATGTGACTGTTCGACATCGATAAGGGAGCCACAAAATAGCCGTGTTATCTGCCGCCACATGGTGCCGACCGTGATATATGTGCGGTGTCCCAACCGGTTTTTTCTTTGTTTTTGTTTTACCGAAGTGTCCGGTCTGGTGCCCGTTGTTGTTGTTGACACGGGCTCGGTCGGTCTCAGATAAAAAAACGTGTTGTTTGTTGCTGTCGCCGTTGCCGCTGTGCGCCATTCAAATCCGGTCGTCGCCGTCAATACTTTTTGTCGCCATTGGTCATTGCCGTGGTTGTGAGTATTGGGGTTTTGTCGTTTTGTCGACGCTTAAGTGTTTTGCGGTCGTAGCGTTTTATCGTCGTCGCCGTAAATGTGCCAGTAAACGTGCTGCCGCCGTCAATACTTTTGTCGCCATTGGTCATTGCCGTGGTTGTGAGTATTGGGGTTTTGTCGTTTTGTCGACGCTTAAGTGCTTTGCGGTCGTAGCGTTTTGTCGTCGTCGCCGTAAATGTGCCAGTAAACGTGCTGCCGCCGTCAATACTTTTGTCGCCATTGGTCATTGCCGTGGTTGTGAGTATCGGGGTTTGCCGTTTTGTCGACGCTTAAGTGGCCTTGCGGTCGTAGCGTTTTAGCCGCCGCCGCTATCGTGTCGCCGCCGTCGTTACCGTGTCACCACCGGCCAGTGTGAGCAGCCAGTCAAAGGTGTCCAGGTCAGCGTACTAATTTTTGTCGATTATTTTATTGTAAATAATTATTATCATCATTATTATTATACCTTGTTGATATTAAAATACTAACCCTAGTTTTTAAGTATATTGATGTTTTATATTGAACTTTTGGCAATAGTATTTGAGTTTTATACAGTCCACTTAATTAGTTAATTTATTTTTGCCTTACTCCCCTTTTTGTTTTTTTTCTCTAAACCATTTACTCCTATCCGGCCTAGACGGGTTTTCTCCCGGCAAAAGAGTTTATCTGTCGGGCATACGCGTCGCACATTTTGGTCCTTCGGGCCGGATATTATTTTCTTTATTTGTTATTGTCGGTCGGTTGTTTTGTCTAGTGGTGCACGATGGTTCGAGGGAAGAAGACAAACGTATTACCGGAGGTACCGCGTGCGTTAGTGCGTGCACGGGCCGCGCGCGACAGCGTATTACGGTCGGTTCGCAATTTATACGCGTTATCGGTGGAGGCGCGCACGGACGTCGAGAAACAACAACTGTTTATTGCGCGCGCGGAGTCACTCGAAAAGTATATTGGTCAGTTCGAAGAGCATCAGGAAGCGGTCTTGAATGCTCTTACCGATTTAGACTTAGTAAATGAATTCGATTCAGTCGACGCCGTAATAGCGGATGAAGTCGAGGAAAAGTGCGGTAATATAAAAGTGGTCGTGCAGTTAATAAAACCGGTTTCAAATAATATCCGTTATTCTAATGACATGAGTCATGCTTCGATCCAATCGATGATTTTACCCAGAATCGAGATACCAAAGTTCGATGGTAATATCATATCTTGGTGTTCTTTTCGTGACATGTTTCAATCGTTGGTGCATGAAAATCATTTATATTCCGATATAGAACGTTTTCATTATTTGACTTCTTGTGTGTCTGGTCCAGCGGCTTCAATCGTTAAGTCCGTGCCTCTGTCCGCCGCAAATTATCGTGTTGCTTGGACTGCACTGATTGACCGTTTCGATAACCAACGCCTATTGGCTACTGCGCATATTGATCAGTTGTTCGCTTTTAAGCCTATTGTTCACGAGTCTCTAGCACCATTAACTTCGTTCGTAAATACCTTTCGAGAGAATATTGCGGCATTAAAGACACTTGGGGTGACGGATCTTGCTGGATTCTTACTGTTCTACATCGGATCTCGTGTTTTAGATTCAAATACTCGGCAGTTATTTGAAGACAATGCCCCGCCTAACCAAATACCGGATCTTGATTCTTTGATCACTTTTGTCCAAAGACGTTGTAAAGTGTTAGAGATTGCCAAGGGCAACCCTCCAGTTAACAAGAATTCGGTTAAGAGTGGAGTTTCTAATCGTTCCTCGAAGGTTACCTTAGCGGCAACTACAACTGATTTCTCTGCCAAGTTATGTCTTTACTGTAATGCCGATTCTCATCAGATTTCCCGTTGTTTTGCATTTAAAAAATTGACTGCCGACAAACGTAAAGAATTCGTTACATCAAAACGGCTGTGTTTTTCTTGTCTGAGAACTAATCATATGGTATCCGCATGTCCATCGAAGGCAACCTGTGCCAAGTGCGGTAAACAACACAATACGTTACTTCACCTACAGCTGGACAATTTAAATACTCAAAAACCGACATCGAGTTCACCCATTCCTGAGAATAAGTCCCCTGATAATTCGGAAACTCCACCAAAGTTTTCGGGTCTGTCACGGTCAACCTCGACGGTTGTTTTAGGGACAGCGGTTGTTCGAGTCCTTGACCGGTGTGGCGTCGCGCATCCGGTTAGAGCTCTTATCGATAGCGGATCACAAGTTTCGGTGATAACTTTAGAATGTGCGTCGCGCCTCGATTTGCGACGTGAGAAGAGCACTACGCAGATCGTTGGTTTGTCTAAAAACCCGGTGTCGAAAGTGAAAGGAAAAACGAGAATTACCTTTATGCCACATCACGTGAGCCAACCAGTATTATCGGCTGATGACGTCATTATACTACCGGAAATATCAGGCCCCATGCCAGCCAATAAATTACCATTGTCCGTTCGTGAGCGCTACAAACATTTGTTATTGGCTGATCCGAAATTCGATTCACCGTCGAAGGTAGATTTGCTCATTGGTGGTGATAGGTTCCCACATATAATGCAGTCTCGTGCTGAAGTCCTACACCATCCAGGATGTCCGTCCGCCTTTGAAACACTGTTTGGCTGGGTTATAGTGGGCTCTGTCAACACGCCCTGTGAGGCGCCCTGGACAACTCTCTCGGTCACTTCAGCCCCAGCGCTTGATACGTTGATCAGCCGGTTTTGGGCGATCGAAGAACCTGGTGGTCCGATCAGTCATACAACCGAAGACGAACTGTGCGAGAAGTGGTTTACCAGTACAGTGTCGCGTGAGCCATCGGGTAAATTTTGTGTGGCTCTTCCTTTCCGACAAGAAGTATTCGGAAAAGTTTCCTCACTCCCGGTTGAATCGGTAGTTTACAATGGTCTGTCGCATGGTCTCGGAGATTCTTATTCTGCGGCGTTGAAACGACTGTTTAACTTGGAACTGAAATTGAGCAAGGACGCTAAATTGTACGAGGCTTACCGTGACTTCATGGATCAATACTTGGCGCTAGGTCACATGAAGTTAGCCGCACAATCTGGAAAATATTACATTCCACATCATGCGGTGGTTAAGCATGATGGTGATGAGCTTAAAATTCGTGTGGTGTTTGATGCTTCCGCTTCAACGACGTCAAAGCTTTCGTTGAACGATGTTTTATGCGTAGGCCCCAAACTACAGACAAATATTGACGAAATTCTTCTGAAGTCACGTCTTAAGAAGTTTGTTTTTACGGCTGATATTGTCAAGATGTATAGACAGATACGTATTCGCGCGGAAGACTGCACTTATCAGCACATTTTATGGCGTCGTTTTCCCTCGGAGGAAGTCCAAGACTATGAGCTCCTCACAGTCACTTATGGTGTAAGTTCGGCTCCCTATCTCGCCATTCGATGTTTGCATGAGTTGGACACAAAAGACAGCTTCAAGTATCCACGTGCAAAGGGAGTCCTTACCCACACTACCTACGTTGACGACATTATAACGGGCGCGGACACGGAAGATGAGTTACTGTTGGTCCAGCAAGACGTCATCGGTCTACTTCGTTCAGGTGCGTGTGAACTGAAAAAATGGTCTAGTAACAGTCCGTGCGTTTTGCGAGATCTACCCGTCGAAGATTGCGCTCAACAGTTGTCCTTCGATCCTAAAGAGGACCAGTCGGTTAAAGTTCTTGGATTACATTGGGACACTCAAAAGGACGCCTTTGCTTATCACACCAATCTCAGCGTCTCTCCTAAAACCAAACGTGGTATTTTGTCAACGATTGCACGGTTATTTGACCCGATTGGTGCGTTAGGACCGACAATTTTGTGGGCAAAGTGTATCATGCAGCAGGTATGGCAGGAAAAACTTGGCTGGGACGAAACATTGCCTAGTCACATCCACGAGAGCTGGGATCGGTTCGTGTATGAATTACCTTTATTGCGTAACGTCTCACTGCCACGTCATATCGACATTCGTGATGCAGTCGACATTCAATTACTAGGATTTTCAGATGCCTCGCAGAAGGCCTACGCCGCTATAGCTTATTTACGGGTCGTTTATGAATCTGGCAAGATTGACGTGTTTTTCCTGACATGTAAGACGAAAGTTGCGCCGCTTAAGGCGGGTAAACTAGACGCGTCGTTGTCAATTCCTCGGCTAGAACTTTGTGCGGCTTTACTCTTGGCAAAATCACTTAGTCACTTGCATAAGTATTTAGCAGTCGATATCACGATTTCGAAGGTCCGTGCGTGGACTGACTCAACAACAGTGCTGTCATGGCTCAAGACAGAGCCTAAGAGTTTTAAGATCTTCGTAACCAACCGCATAGCGAAAATTCACGGTCTACTGCCTGATTGTTCATGGGAGTACGTGTCTACTTCCGAGAATCCGGCAGATCCAGCATCCCGTGGCCTTTTACCAAGTGCTATGTTACAATGTTCTCTCCACTGGAATGGTCCGTCATTCGCAAGATTGCCAGAAACCCAATGGCCGCAATCCACATGGCAAGTCATCCCACCTCAAGAACTGCCAGAGGCAAGAGTTAGGGCGGAGGTTTCCTTACACGTCAGTAATGATTTAGAGAGTGACCAGTTACTTGTGCGGTTTTCGTCACTGGTTAGGATGCAAAGGTCAATCGCCTTCATCTTTCGTTTTTGTAATTCGGCATTAAAGCGTTCTACCATGGTTGGCTCACTTACGCGCTCTGAACTCGACAGTGCACTTATAACTGCAGTACGAATGACGCAAAGGGGTCATTTTTTTGCATTACTGAAGCAATTGGACCACCCGTCCGGCTCAGTCACACCTCCAACTTTAGCTCAGCTTGCGCCTTTTCTGGATGCGTATGGAATTATTCGTGTAGGTGGGCGACTACGTTACTCATCTTTGAGCTATGACCAAAAGCATCCAATATTATTACCAAAGGCGGCTTATTTAACCACGTTACTCATTCGCCATTACCATCTCAGCTTTCTTCATGGAGGTCCAAAACTAGTACTTGCCATGCTCTCCCGTAAGTTTTGGATTTTGTCGGGACGAGATGCCGTTCGTCGCTTTATTTATACGTGTGTAAGGTGTACGCGGGTAAAGGCCTCGCGTCCTGCTCCAGTTATGGGTGATTTGCCATCACCTCGCGTCGAGCTACATCGCCCCTTTCTGCACGTCGGCATGGATTACGGTGGGCCGTTCGTGGTTAAAGAAAGTCGAAGACGCAATACCAAGACGACCAAGGTTTACCTTGCTTTGTTTATTTGTATGTCGGTAAAGGCAGTTCATTTAGAGGTAGTCTCCGACTTAACTACGGATGCCTTTCTTGCCGCATTGGACAGATTTGTCGCACGCCGGGTGTCCCCTCCGATATCTACTCTGATTGTGGTACGAATTACATTGGAGCGGCCCGGCAATTAAAATCGTTGTTCGAGGATCCAGAGACGCAGGCGCGGGCGTCTACTCGCGTGGCATCCGTTTGGCATTTTAACCCGCCTGCAGCGCCACACTTCGGTGGGCTATGGGAGGCGGCCATCAAGAGTTCGAAGTACCATATGCGACGTGTTATTGGTAATCAGGTGTTTACCCTCGAAGAATTTACCACTCTGGTTACACGCATTGAAGGGATTCTCAACTCCCGACCACTCACGCCGATGTCCGCCGACCCGAACGACCTGTGCCCACTTACTCCGGGTCACTTCCTGATTGGGCAGCCGATTGTCTCTTTACCGGAGTTGAATTTGAAAAGTGTACCCATGAACCGCCTAGATCGTTGGCAGCTCATACGGCAAGGTTACCAATCGTTCTGGAAGCGTTGGACAACGGAATACCTATCAACTCTACAAGGACGGCTCAAATGGTTCAAGCAAACTCCTAACATGCAAATCGGCGATCTAGTGATTGTAGACGCTCCCAATCGCCCTCCTACCGAATGGCAAATGGGACGTATAATTGCTGTTCATCCCGGAGAAGATCAGACAGTGCGAGTGGTCACCGTTCGAACTCAGGACAGCACGTTAAAGAGACCCGTCGTTAAACTGGTCAAGTTACCAGTGCATGACTGAATGCTCTTTCCTCAACTAATGTTCGCCATTCCTAAATTATCAACTTCCTGTTCAAGTTTGATTCTTTTTTTATTTTTTATTTTTAACGCTATTGCCAAAAGTAGTACTATCATTTTATTTATCTTATTTTATATTTATCTTTGTCTCGTTCTTATTGTATTCATACATAAAAAAAGGAAGTATAAGCTGACCGAGAAGATGTCTATGGTTGGAAGTGGACTTCCAACGGCGGGAGTATGTTCGACATCGATAAGGGAGCCACAAAATAGCCGTGTTATCTGCCGCCACATGGTGCCGACCGTGATATATGTGCGGTGTCCCAACCGGTTTTTTCTTTGTTTTTGTTTTACCGAAGTGTCCGGTCTGGTGCCCGTTGTTGTTGTTGACACGGCTCGGTCGGTCTCAGATAAAAAAACGTGTTGTTTGTTGCTGTCGCCGTTGCCGCTGTGCGCCATTCAAATCCGGTCGTCGCCGTCAATACTTTTTGTCGCCATTGGTCATTGCCGTGGTTGTGAGTATTGGGGTTTTGTCGTTTTGTCGACGCTTAAGTGTTTTGCGGTCGTAGCGTTTTATCGTCGTCGCCGTAAATGTGCCAGTAAACGTGCTGCCGCCGTCAATACTTTTGTCGCCATTGGTCATTGCCGTGGTTGTGAGTATTGGGGTTTTGTCGTTTTGTCGACGCTTAAGTGCTTTGCGGTCGTAGCGTTTTGTCGTCGTCGCCGTAAATGTGCCAGTAAACGTGCTGCCGCCGTCAATACTTTTGTCGCCATTGGTCATTGCCGTGGTTGTGAGTATCGGGGTTTGCCGTTTTGTCGACGCTTAAGTGGCCTTGCGGTCGTAGCGTTTTAGCCGCCGCCGCTATCGTGTCGCCGCCGTCGTTACCGTGTCACCACCGCCAGTGTGAGCAGCCAGTCAAAGGTGTCCAGGTCAGCGTACTAATTTTTGTCGATTATTTTATTGTAAATAATTATTATCATCATTATTATTATACCTTGTTGATATTAAAATACTAACCCTAGTTTTTAAGTATATTGATGTTTTATATTGAACTTTTGGCAATAGTATTTGAGTTTTATACAGTCCACTTAATTAGTTAATTTATTTTTGCCTTACTCCCCTTTTTGTTTTTTTTCTCTAAACCATTTACTCCTATCCGGCCTAGACGGGTTTTCTCCCGGCAAAAGAGTTTATCTGTCGGGCATACGCGTCGCACAGTGACGCTGACGGTTATTCATTTAATAATCTCAGTTGGGATCTTCTCAAAGAAAAGAATTATAATAATAAGAAATCAGATTTTTTAGCTCGAATTACAAACCATTAATACATTTGTATGTCTTCTAATATCTAAATTTTCAAAAAATATAATGTCATTAAAAATTAATAGTTTTAATCACGATTATGAAAATAATTTTTTCTTATGTATTGTATTTACATTGTTATTAAATATTTTCCTGTGTACACGGATAATATAATAAAACCACTTTATTGCACTTTCAATTTTGTCTTTTTGTCCGGATAATTTTATACTCGATACAAATATTATATTTCGAAAACAATAATAATTACAATAAGTAAATATTAACAAATGATAATATCTTAGATGTTATCGATATCGCTGAGCAAATTGTACGAGAGATCGTCATGCATTTTAAAAATACACTATAAGTATTGGAATGTTAAGTACCATAACACTTTGTTTTTTGGAAAATAATAATACTCATGGAAAAAAAATATTATTATGATAAAGTCATATTTTCTGAAGTAAATTAATGGGATTTTCCTCAATCCCTGTTGCATTGTAAACAAGTAATTACAAAATATAATATCTGTTGGATAAATTTTTGTAATTTTTGTAAATATGATTGTCTTAATTATAAAAGCATATAAGTCGGTTTTCAGCTTTGATGCGGAGCGTAAAAGATAGGTATTGGTTTTACAATGATGTAGATTATTTTAATTATTTGTTTTGTAGCTATATGCACAATAATTACCAGCTTAGAATTACACAGTAGCATTGTATACCAATGTATAATATAATAATATAAAATATGATAATTATAATAGTATTACACGCTAGACTAGCCAAAATATTTCAAAATATCAGTATAGTGGAGTTGGCAATTAATAGGGAAGGGGCACAATAAAATCGACAATTTCACCGTTATTATAGTATTACTATAAAAGTAATTAAATATTAAAATCACTCTTGGACAAAATAATATGATACATAAACACATAAAGATATGTAGCTAAGAAATTGTAGGCTGATGTGTAGGTTCTACTGGTGGTTATGCAACACCCTCCAATAAAAACAGAGTCTAAAAGCCGTCTAGAGCCAGAAATATTTTTAAAATTAAACTGCAAGAATCAAAGTTTTTGATTAATCTATTTGAAAACTAGTTAGATTTATTAAAAAAAGTAAATTCCAGAAATTGTCTTTGCGTTTTAGTCATTATGGGTATACAATTTACCGCTTAAATAAAAACTAAAATTTTTTTAGTTGAAAACTAATGATATAACTTGACATCGAAAACACCATGATATTGAATATAAATATTTTTTAATCGTATTTAATTTTCTTAAAAACCTGTAACTAAAGTTTCTTACTAACCAATGTACTTTTAATTTATGGACAAATGCGTTTGTAGTACATATTTATGTTGCTATACGGTGTATAATCAAGTTTTTACACGAGTAACCCATTGAACAGATTATTTTGTTATTATGTTTAAAAACAACAATACGATATGTGATCTCATTTTGGCAAATTTCGAAAAAAACGCCAAAATAGTTTAGGAAAATATTCCTATACAAAACTTTAACCAGAAATAATAATTTGTCAGTAGTTAGAATACATATGTATTCATAACACATTAAACGGAATACAAATTCGGTACTAAAATTTTTTTTTTTAATTGCCGGAAAACTGTGTTTTTGCAGATTGCGTATATTTTAACAAAAACAACTCAAATCTTAAAAAGTTGTTTTTTTTTTCTCCATTATTTTGTATTGGTAGGCAAGTCGATAAAATGTCAAAACATTGTACGAATTTATCGAATTGTATTTTTTAGATTCTTTTATATGCTTACAGACTAACATAAAATAATACTTCATAAGTTTACCGATTTCACTAAACAGGCGTATTGTTCAAGGGCTAAGTGCACAGTTGTTTTAATACATTGAATTCTTTTTAAATGGATTTTTAGATAAGCATTTTTCTACATTGAAAACAAACGTATGATTTTAAGCTTAAGTAAATAGAACCTAGTATATTTTTTTCGGCTACCGAACAAGTATTACACTTTCAGGTATTTGTACACAAGTTTTGTACAACGTCAAAAGAATGCAGGGATTTACACAATATGAATTTTCGTTACTTAGGTATGTGTTTTACAAAAGATTATCTTAATAGCGTTCCCATTTTGTTTTTCTTCTTTTTGCACATAATATATACCTTGTTATTGTAAAAATTCAAAGCAGCAGTAAAAACAAATAGTTGGAATAGACTAGATAATAAAATACAAGACGTTTACTTATTCGGTGAACATTATTTTTATTGCTAGATAGGTACGCGTAATATACATGATATAATTGATATGATAAGGTAACAAAATGCTTTATTTGGAATATTATATTGCTATTAGAAAAAACACTAAAGTTTCAAACACAATAATAATTATTGTGTTTATTATGATGAACAAATATAAAAATTAAAAAATATACACAACTTAGTAAGCATATTTTTTTCAGAATGCGACACGGATTTTGGATATTGTAGCTTTGTTGTAAAGTTTAATCGTTGTTACGCGTAGGGCTGAAAAAAAAAATTAAATGATTGTGAAAAAAAATCATTTTTTTTTTATAATTAGCTTATACATACATTTTAATTAAAATTAAGTGTTAGGCTACCAAAATAAATTATTAAGTATTCTCATAGTAGTCTCTCTAAGTTATCTTAGGATTAACTTCTACCGGTATCAATTATTTTAGTCTCAAAGTAATTGTGATTTTAAAATTACAAATAATTATGAAAAAAATAAAAATGGTTTACTTTAAATAGGTTCATATTTTAATTGCCAGGTGGATATGGTAGTGGTGTTTGTGGAACTGAAACATCAAAAAATAAATCAAATACTTGTTTTTCCTATTTTATAACCTATGTATATTTTATTTAAGTCTCAAAAACTTACCATCCGAAGGAATTAATTGTGGTTCTGCTGGTATTCGTATTGGTGGAGGTGCGTGTGGTCGTGGTTGTGCTGGTGGCTGTGGAACTGAAACATAAAAAAAAAAATCAAATACTTGTTTTTCCTATTTTATAACCTATATAAATTTGATTTAAGTCTCCAAAACATACCAGCCTGTTGTAGTTCAATTGGTTCTGGTGGTAAATCGAATGGTGAATCTGAAACATCAAAAAATAAATCAAATACTTGTTTTTTCTATTTTATCATTTTGAACCGTACATTTAAATCATTTAACTTTGTTAGCTACGCATTAACAAATTGTATTATATTGCCAATCAAACATGGTAGAGTTATTCTTATATTCAATAGTTAAACACATTTTTGGCCAATGGTGCGTACGCGCACCATAAAATAAATACATCCTTGGCCGGAAATGGGTTAATGCATTTATAACATTTTATACACATTTTAGGCTCAAATGAAAACAAATTAAAAAGACACTCTCTGTTTGCTGATCATCTGAAATATCGAAAAAAATTACTTACATAACCCATTTGTAGCATTTTACACATATTAGGCTTTATCGAAAATAATAGTACAGACAGTCGTTAACTTACAGTCATTTGAAACCCATATAATACAAATATATACTCAATGTTACTTTTATAGCTTATATAAGTTATTACAAATAACTCAACCACTTACCAACATCGCCTGAATTGGTCGGGATATCTAAAATTTTGAAGAAAAGAACTTACAGTCATTTGAAAAACAAAAAAATTAATATTAAATTTCACTTTAATTAATTATGTAAGCTATATCAAAGTCTCGAAGACTTACCAGATTTTGTCGGTACCTCTGAAATATCGAAAACAAAATTACTTAAATATATTTTTTTTTATCCCAATGCAATATTCAGTGCTTGACTTGAGAAAAAAGTAGTAGAGGTACTCTAGATACCTTTGAAAAAGTAGCGTCCCTAGCATTTAAATATTCCTCACATTAACGCGGGGGCTTCGCCCCCCACACCCCCTTTAACGGTCCCCTAAGCAGCATTAATATAAAACCGTTAAACAAAACAGAATAATATTATACTTGTTTAGGTATAACTTGTCTTTTTTAAAACAATTACAAGCTTAATTTGATATAAATTAATCATTTTTCATTTTTAAAAATCTTCAATCTTCATTTAAAAGATTCCATGGGTACCATTGATTAATTGCAAATATAAATACAATTGTACCGGGTTATTACAAAAGAATAAGTCGGTTTCAAAAATTTGTATTTTCTAAATGGTACAGCTACAGAGCTGCTCGACCTCTTAAAACGACAGCTGTGACCTCAAGTTAGGTTAGGTTACCGCTAGGATAATTAGGGATGAACAAAATCCACACACGACCCTGGAACACTTAAGAGACTCGCCAAAAGTTAACGTTTTTTGCGGTATGGACCATTTGTTTTTAATGAAGCCACTGTTGCAGGAAACTCGTACCTTTAAATGTTGTGAGATTGGGTCAATGGAAAAGTTTGTGCCGCCATTGCCTGCGAACATTGAAGATTTGAAGCCATGCATAATTTTGGCTGTGCAGACAGTAACTACTGACATGCTCCCCAGAGTGTGGGAGGAATTTGCATACCGACTTGACATTGTTTGGGTTACTCAAGGAGGACACATTGAACATTAATAATTTTTTTAATTTTTAAAAAAAAACTTGAGGTTATAGCAGTCATTTTAAGAGGTCATGCAGCTCTGTACCGTTTAAAAAATACAGATATTTGAAACCAACTTATTCGTTTGTTGTCACCCTGTATTTAATCAATGATGATACACCTCTAGACAGCGTATTTAAAGTTTAAACGGTCAAACGGAGCGATTCGTTCCATCAAATCGCGGTAACGTTTCGCAACGAGACCAACAACACGACGATTGACGGTTACAAACGGGAAACGATAATGAAATATTGATAGTAAAAGATATGAGATATCAAAACATTTTGTAAGATTTATATAATATAACACAAAAATTTAATTTGACCAACTTTACAAATATAGGTAAGACAAAATAATAACAACCCGTCCCATGCGTTCCCCTTTAAAAAAAAAATTGGGGTACGCTAAAATATTCAAAAAATTAGTTGAGGTACTCAGTCCCCCCCGCGTCCCCCCCCCCCAAGTCAAGCACTGGCAAAATTTATAAATTATATATAATATATAGGAATTATAGAGGATTGAGCGAATTAAGATAGTCTACTGGATAATTGACTGCATCATCTACTTCTAATACTGAACTTACAGATCCGTATTCAATGGTTTCTGCTTGAAAATAATCTAATAATGTATTTGTATGCAGTTGTATCATTTTTTTATGTTAATCGGTAGGTAATGGGGATTGTATCAGTACCGAATTTCGCATAAACATTTTGGTTGTAATAAAAAGCTGTTATTATCATCCAACTTACCTTTATCGAAAAGCGTCATTTAAATCAAATCAGCGAATAAAAATAGAACAATTTAATGCGTGAACTTACTTCCTTCAACACCTGAAACATGGAAAATAGATAAGTATCATATAAAAATTAATTAATAAATAAATAAAAAGTTTTAAATTAAATTAATTTTTCTAAAAAAAATCATTAGGTTATTAAAAAAAACTAAGACATCGAAACTTGACGCTTAGTTTAATTTTTTCATTATTATTATAACATTTTTATACTAATTGTTTTTTATGTACCTGTAGACACTGCCAGGATAATGAACAGTACGGCTGTTAGAAGAAAAACTATGCTATTAAACTTCATATTTGAAAAAAAAAACAAATCTTGAATAGTATTAAAACACCAAACGAAATATAAGTTTTCGGTTTTAAAGTCGAAGTGAAACGCCAAGGAAGTGGAACGCTATACTGGAGTCCCTGTCTTTCTTACATTGACAGCACTGATGGCGAACGGTGATGTACAGCTCATGTCAATTCTACAACTATTTTTCTTATTCAAATACTTCAACACTTATGTTAACCTTGAATTTTATACACCGACGATGAGCGTTGAAATGTGTCTTTTTCATGTTTCAACAATATTAAATTACCTATACTATTTGTTGTTTAGAATATTTTGATGTATCATATTCAACGGTACAAAGGACTGCAAAAATGTTTAAGTTTCACGCGTACAAAAAATTTCGAGTACAATTTTTAATACCGAAAGATTTTGAGCGTAGACTTAATTTTATTGCATTTATGCTAATAAAATGAACTTATAACCCGACATTTTTATCGAGTATTTTATGGACAGACGAAGCAAAATTTTACAACAATGGTCATGTTAATCATCACAACCGACACTATTGGTGTGATATTAACCCCAATTGGATAGTGGAAACACATGTCCAGACACGGTGGTCAATTAATGTTTGGTGTGGTATTATCGATGACCAATTAATAGGTCCATATTTTTTTTCAAGAAAATCTTAACGGGGAGAGATATCTTAATTTTTTGAAAAAAGAGCTTCCCATATTATTGGAAGAAGTTTCGAAACTACTTAAATAAACTTTTTGGAAGTAAGATTTATAATTCACTTAGGGATTTACTAGGGTAATTTATTATTAATTAAATTAAATTAATGTTTATATGAAGAGAACTGGATAGATACAAATAGTCTAAAAATTGTATGGCCAGCTAGGAGTCCCGATCTTAATCCCATTGGTTTCTATTTTTGGGGATACACAAAAAATGTGGTCTACCAAAATAAACCAAGTGACATGGAAGGTTTAAAAAACTCAATTAAGGACGCTTGCTCTGCTATACCAGCTCATATCCTAAGGAAATGCTCTATTGATCAAGTTCTAAAACGATTAGAAGTATGTTTAGCTGCAGAGGGTAAACAGTTCGAATATATTTTGTTAAAAAAAAAATTGTATAATTAAATTGGCCAACCAAAATTGTTGTTTTTAAAATTCTTATGTAGTATTCTATACTATTTTCCTAAGCTCATTTCAAATTTAGGCTTGACAGAGTTTGAATTTGTACACAATATTTGTTCTTCCTTTTGATCTATTTAGTCTTGAATTGGTAAATTTTGTGGTAAATCTGAAACTAACAACATACGTACAATTTAATCACACTATATAAGAAAAATTAAATTTTAGATACATGAGAGTTAAGCTCTTGGAATAGTAGCAGTGATTTGAACAACATTTTAAAGAAAATGTTTTCATTGATAGTTTATTACTTATTCAAAGTTCTTGCCACTTAAAATAAGTAACGACATAATAATATTGAGAATTTAATTGGTTATAAAGTGAGATAAATTATAGTAAATTGCTAATATTATATTAAGTTAGTTTAAACCTAACATGTAATAACAAAATATACAAAATATTACTTATCTTGAAAATCAATAAGTAGAAATTTGTTTCTTTTCTTGATAAATGAAAATGTTACATATTATAAAATTACTTTAATAAAATATATCTGAATATTAAAGTCTTAAATGTGTAAAAATTGAATTGTTCAACGTTGAGTAATGAGTTTAATAACTGGCAATAGCAATACAATTTTACAAACACTTTGTTCCATTATGATTTTCCACTGCCGTGAACATGATAACTTTTATCATAGTCCGTGTTCATTATCTAATAAGCTATTTACCAATATGATAGACCTTCGCCTATTATTTAGCAAAGTGCTCCTAAAGCAAATTTCAACCACAATTATCTCTACTGATGGAAACCGTGCTACCAACGGGACATTTTAAAATATTACAATATTAATATACGGGTCATTGAATAATCTTTTTTAACCTGTAAATTATGATCTAGTGATAAGAGGATGGGATGCGAGAATAACGACCTCAAAATATCACAATTATCATTAATATTATAACACGGCAGCTGTAGGTAGAGGCATGTGTAAATAGGTAACTGTATATTTGTTTCTTATCGATATATTACGTTGAATGTTATTGTGTTGTGTCAACGATAATAATAACAAATAAATATAATTGGACTCCATCAAGTGTGCAAGATATCCAGGAGTACAAAAAGCCTCTCTTGTTAGCTGTGTTTATAAAAATACTAATAACTCAAAAACAAATTAATATGTTCGAAAATAAATCAAAAAACATTTTTATTATTTCAATTTTAAATCTATTTATAAAAAAAAAAAACAGGGGCTGCCATTTGAAAATCAAAAGTTGGTATTGCGTTTTTGTAGAAGGGAGGGAGGTACAAAAAATAATTATTATAGAACAAGTTAGTATTTTACACACAAAAAAAATATTACAATTTTTTTTTTGTAAAAATCTAAGTAGTTTTTGAGAAAAGTAGTGTAAGGCGCTAAAAGAATCACCCTGTATACTAAACTACTCCTGCTTAATCTACGTTTAAAATTTCAAAATCTTAACTTAAGAGGAAACTTTGAGTGAATGGTTCGTGTAAAGATACACTGGCATGTTGGAAGTGTGAAAGTTGAATAGTGTTCCTACTATGTCCCTATGATAACAAGTGCTATATTTACTAGTTTGAAAACAGACTTACGACTTCCGGCCAAGTAAATTAAATACAGATTTTTTAATGAATGTTTTTATATGTCGACTGATTTTATTGTTGACAACGATGTATAATAAATGTACATCGACCATTAACATTATAATATTTATTTAGTATTATATCGCGTATTTTAAGGCTTATGTTGAAACATTTCTTCTTTTTTTTTTTTTTACTTAGCGACCATTTACACTGAGTTAACTAAGTGTATTTGTTAGGTTGCAATTACTAGAAATCTTTGCGTTATTATGATTGAAATATATGCCTATACACGTGGTCCTAATTATCCGTAATTTATCAAATTACTATGAATAATTACTATTATTTAATAATATATACAATCAAAATTCGTATCATTCGTTGTCCTACTTTTAGGTTACACTGATAAAGCTTAGGTATGGATATTTTTTTTCCACACATGTTATATAATGTTTGTTAGACCTATCTTTAGGCTAATTCTCAGTTCTAAAATCTTAAAATTGCGCCAAACAAAATTTTAAAAACTTTCAGCCTTTCTCCCGGTGGGTTGTCGAAATTTCGGATTTTTTCCACGTGTAATTTTGTCGATAACATTTTTTGTACAGAAAATTCTAAGGTTATAGTAAATCGAAAATATTTTCGAAAACCATACGATTTCGGCACTAGTGCACACATGTAAATGTTTAAGTACATTTTTTTCCATCGATAAATATTCATAAATTCAAGCAGAAAAATGCGTCGATCTAACGACAAAAACAATATATAAAATTGTCAATGTTCGAATTTCACATTTTTGTGCACATCTTAGTGTTACTTTTTACGTTGAAAATTCGAAGGGCATAGCGAATTGTCAAAACTTGAAAATGTTATCAAATCGGATATACTATTTACATACAATTTTTGCGCATAAATATTTTTTAAACTACTGCCTTTAATAGTCCGTAATACAAATAGTAACCTAATCCTAAGTATGGCTATCGACGGATATTCACAAAGGAAAAAGCCATTAGAATTGGGGTTGGGACTTGAGTTGACCGAGATGACTGAACGTGATAAAATCACTTTTGAAAAATGTAATTAAAACGTAAAACTGGTAGTTGAGCGCTCAAAAATTACTGGGACTTTTTTTTTTAAGATTTAACAACAACACAATTTTGTGACATTTGAAAAAAACTATATTCCCGAATTTTTACTTGGTCATTAACATATTAATGTTATAAACACATACTATGAGTTCTGGTTCTTAACAAATTTTTTCAAAGAGAAGGTCCTAAAATTACGGCTAAAAACACAAAAATCTTGCACAATCCGTGGGGGCTGGCAAATGGGTATTATTTAAATTTGAGGCTAATGGCGTAGGTAAATTTTCTTTATAAATTTCAACTCGAGTCGACAATTTTTCTCAAAATTGATAAAATCATTTTCATTAAAAACGCATAAAATTGTTAATATGACATTGTCACCGATAGTATATTTTATATAGTAAAAATATAAATATGTATTGATAAAAACACTCAAAGACAACAATGCACTTAAAATTAGCCTTTAATTAATGCATACAATCAACACGAATAATGTCGCACCCTTGAAACAAAACTGCCACAACTCGAAAAATAAAGTTTTACAGGAAATATAATTTAAAGATTGAACCTGCTCCCAAATGATTAATTTTAACTTTTAAAGCTTTAATTTTAATACTTTGCAATTATTTTTATTACCATATGCTTATTTTAATTTCAAGCTACTTAGTTAAATCTCAGCCAGACACCACAATTTGAGGTTATGGCTATTTAGCAATGGGATTTAACAGACCTAACTGCCAAATTTGATTTTTGTGGCAGTTTACCATTTCAAGCTGCAATGATAAATGTGGCAATTTCGTTTTTTTTTTTAATTTATTTATTGCTACAACACAAAATGTGGCAGTTTGTAATTATTTCACTGGTGTCATCCGGTTAAGAATTATTATATCAAATCGAAATGAGACAGTCTTGATTTATTATGCTTAAGTATAAAACAGTAGCAGTATTACAGATTTATAACCGAAAAAACGAATGTTTTTCTTCCACCGATTGTTCGATTGTTTATAAAAATTTCACTGTTTTCCAAAATAATTATTGTTACTTTAAGTAATTAGTATCGAAATATAATTAAAATATCAACTGTTAGGTATCGCTTTAAAATATCGGCAAAATATTTTTTGTTTAAAAAGTTAATCAAGTTTATATTTTACCATTTAAGATATAAAAATCTACCTTCAAGGAATTTTTTAGACCCTTAGGAA